GAACAGAAGACAACAATGTAATAGAATCTTTAAATATGGAATTACAAGCTAAAGATTCAATCTGGACTCAACACGTTGGCATCGTTAGTTTTAATCCTAACATTCGCATTTCACCAATATTTATCATGCTTAACAAACATGCAGTTTTTGTGAAAGTACATCACATCAACCACCACTTTGAGCCGATATATCTACTAAACGTCTATGCTCCTAGCCAACCCGGTCCTAAGAAAACATTTTACAGCGATATCATGGAATTGCCTTTATTTAAAGATGAAACTGATGCCGCACACTTTACTAAATACTCCAACTTCTTGATAACAGGAGATTTTAATTACCACCACTATACAACATATCGATCCTCAAATTCGCATTGTCCTCACCCGATTAGATCCTGGAAACAGACTCTTAACCAACACCTCTATGACTGTAACAATTCAGATGACATAACAGAGACGTATTCAGTGGCAAATCCACATATCACTTTTAGTCGGGGAGATTCACGTACTACAATTGATTACATTTTTGCATCGCTAGCAATTAAAGCAAGTATGACCAAATCTGGGGTCGATTTTATCAACACGGACTGGACAGACCACGCCTTAATCTCTATTGATCTAGTATTGGTGAGTAAAAAAAAAATGGGAAAGGAATCTATAGTGCAAATCCGGCATTGGCCAAGAACAAGCGTTTCGTTGAACAACTGTCCACGTTGCTTCAAGAATTGAAACCAGATACAGCAAATAGCCCCCAAAACTCCCCTCAGCTTGAATGAGACTCTATGAAGAGAAAAGTGCAACAGTTCTGTCAGCGCTTTAGCAGATATTATTGTCGCTGGCGACAAAAGCAAATCGAACGACTTCAAACTCGTCGTTCTAAACTTATCGCCAAACACTCCGATCATCCAGCAATCCTCAACCAACTCTTGCCTACCGTTGAACAACAATTGGGGATACTACAAAAAGAAGTAACCGAAATTGACCCCATAAGAGCCGGAAAACACTTGCGGGAGCAGGGAGAAATTTCAGCTGGGTATCTTAAACGAACCATTACTCAACGGGAACAACAACGAGCCATGAACGCGGTCAGCCACCCAGTATCTGGTGAGTTGGGTCATAATGATAAAAACATCCAAGAGGCGGTACGCACGTTTTACGAAGATTTGTTTAACCCGGACCCCATCAATGAAGCGTATCTTACTAGACTCATGTCTCACATCACCGACGAGTACAAAATAACCAGAGAAACAGCTTCTGGAATACCTGCCCATTTACAATCGACGATATTCTGGAAAGTGCCAAACGATCTCCCGCCAAAAGTAGTCCGGGGTTAGACTCGATACCGTATGAAATATTGAAACTTATCGTTGTCGATCCTTATTTTAGCAATCTTTGCATCACTGTCTTTAACGAGGCGTTGACAAAATCCATCTTCCCTGAAAGTTGGTTGAAGACGTCAATGGTTCTACTACCCAAAAAAGGTGATCTCACCCAACTGAAATGCTGGCGACCAATTTTACTGATCAACACGGATAGTAAAATGTTTACTCGACTACTCAATTCGCGAATGATAGAGTCGGCTCCTGACATCCTCAGTCCACAACAACATGGCTTTAGGCCATGACGTGTTATTGGTGACCATGGACTTACCCTACAACTAGCCGTTGAACATGTTAAACATCAGATACCACACGATCATGACAATTACAATTGTATAGGACTGCTGCTGGATCAGGAAAAAGGTTATGACCGCGTATTTAAAGATTACTTAACTGCCACACCTAACGCATTTGGTTACCCTACTGCTCTTATAAACACCATTACCGGACTGTTCTTTAACACTTCCATTCAAGTACACATTAATGGTCATCTCACAAAAGCTATCCAACAAAACCGTGGTCTGCGACAAGGCGACCCGATATCACCTTTACTATTCAACCTAGCGTCTGATCCTTTTTTAAAATCAATCACCAACCACCCCGAATACAAAGGATTGTCATTCGATCAGCCACGACCAGAACCTCCCCCACCTGCTGCTTCTCCAAGCTCAACCATCACGCCAGTACCTCCCAAATTATTACGACTATGCGTCTATGCTGACGACACCCTGGTCATATTAAAAAATCAATCAGATTTTTACATCCTCCAAGAAGCATACGCACAGTACAGCGAAGCATCGAATGCCAAATTGAACTATAAAAAAACGGAAGCATTCTCACTACATGGATGACCACAAGATGACTGGAAACATTTCCTATCGAACCAAAACATATCTCGATGGCATTCCAGCGCATTAGCAGCTCCACTTCGCTATCTCGGCTATCAACTATGCTTCTCCACAACACAACGAAACAATTATGTTGCAAGCCTAATCGAAAAAATCTAATCAGCTTGTAACATTCACAAACAGCGACAATTTTCGATCCGTGGACGTGCGACTGTCTTGAATTCGTTAATTTATTCGACTTTATGGCATGTGCTTTGGCTGTTCCCTATGACCAAGGCACAGACCACCTAAATACAATCAGTAGGTTATCAGTTTCTTACATTCCGAATGTTTCCAAAACTCCCACTGGCAACACTTCAAAAACCACGCTCACAGGGAGGACTAGGGATCATGAACATTGGCACCCAATAGAAAGTATTCCAGTGGCGCTGGCTCTAACCTCTTTTAGAGGGCCGTGGTCCCAATACTACTTGTCCGGCCGATTTCTACAATCTTCTCAAATTTGGACTTCAATCATATAATGGTAATACCGAACATCATCTTCTCCCACTCTTGTTCCCCAAATATCGGTCTACCGCCATCACTGACCATCCCAGTCCATTCAACTCTATTTTCCAAGCAGTTGATGCCGTTCCCCGAAATTTGACCAGCTTAATAATCAACAAATATACCTGCCTTCCACTACCTTTTTCAGCTATTTGGATTCATCATGACCCAACATACACTGAAGCCATATTCAAATACAAACCAGGGATTCCTAAATTGTTTACCCATCAACGTTTTCACCAAGACGGTGCTAACTATCCTATTACTCGAAAACCGCACCATACACTCACAAGTCACCCAATACTGATCAGACACTTTTTCCGACAACTGGATCAACAATCCAGAATGTTAAATTTATTTTTCATTCGGCAATGCCTTCCACCAGGAACTACATTCAATCCGGATACATTCACAACTGCTGAACCACATTGTCTTGATCTTTCTCCCATTGTAAAACACATGCTGACTCCATTCTACGACAGCATTAAACAGTTTGCCGGCACTCATATCAATAATAATCGGCTGGTACGAGCCCTTATGACAGGTCACTCTAATCCCTCAGCCCCACCCAACAGCCACCCAACAGCTACAGCCTGGACAAAATTCTGGAATACCAGCCTCCACCCAAAATTGCGTAATATATGGTACCGCATAATTCAAAACAAAACTCCTGTCAAATCATTTCTCAATCGAGTCTTTCCTGATATTCATAGCAGCCCCAATTGTGATATCTACCCAAACATACCCGCAAACACAGAACATGTTTTTTTCACCTGTCCTCAAAGATGGTCCGTATGGGCTTCCGTATTACTTATTTTCATCCAACGTCAGGATTTATCCAAACCAGAACAACAAGCCCTTATTATACAAAGCATCTTTCAGCTTAAATACTAAGGCAAAATCACCACACTACCTCACTGAAACTTCATACAACTGCTAGGCTCAACTATCCACTCAATTTGGCTTTCACACCTTAACGAAATCTTTCGTGATATTACGTTTCACGTTGACAACACTACCAAACACATTCAACATACCATTGCTTCTCTACTTATCGAACAAGACGAAGACTTGGACAGTCCAAAAATATATAAAAAAAAAAAAAAAAAAAAAAAAAAAAAGTAGTCCCTACCACCTCATTCGCAAAACCTTATACATTAATTCCCAACCCCATACCAATTATTTTCATAGTCACTCAATTGTACGACCAATAATATTTGCGTTCATCATTGTTGACTTTAAACAATAAAGACAAAGTCTCTTTCATAAAAAAGAAACAATTGCGTTGGTGTATTTTTGTTTGACAACAGCTCAAACCATTCCGCATTTGCTGAGGATGCCCCGGTTGCCTCAAGAACGACATTGAAGGAGAAGATACAGCCAGTAACTGAAAAATTTCAGTTTTGTCCTAAAACAATTACATTGACTAGCGGAGAGGTTTTGAAGCATGACCTTTTTTTTTTGAGAAGGTGAGTACCCTTAGAGACAGATAGGAGAAAACAATTACTCGTAAAGAAACGTACTTTAAAGTTAAATAATAGATTATGTTATATAGCTAAGAGATAATTTATTTATTTTTTAATCAGGTATTTGAAATATTCTCGCTGAAAGAAAGCAATGGTTCGGTGCTGATTTAGAGGGGAAGGACTGGAAGGTGGATTGCAACAATCCTTTCCCGTGTCGAACATCTTTGTGCTTTGCTAGGCATTTTTAAGTCAGTCCAGATTTTCTTGCGGAAAAAACGGCGCTTCAAGAAACAGTGGAGAAGGTGGGTCACATTTTTGAACTCCACCCCAAGTACCTTTGTGAATGTAATTGGATTCAGATGTATTGGGGTGGAGCTAAAAGAGAGGCTCGTCTTCATTTTGATTTCACATTCAAATCACTTGAGGCCGAAATTCCCGGGTTTTTGGACAAGGCTGGAGATGTCGCCAAAATCAAACGGTATTTCCAGCGATGCATGAATTATATTGATGCCTACAGCAAGTGTGACGAAGGAAGAGAGTTACATTTCACATTGAAAAGTAACGTTTGATGAAAACATTTAATAAACTTTTCTTTCTTCCTTTATTTTTGACTGAGTTTAAAGAGCTTCTATTTTCAAAAATCTTGGCAGGTACAAGCCTCCCTTTAGACATTTCAAAAACAAAAAGGCACCATGTCACGATTTCGAAAATAAAAATATTGAAATGAAATTAAGGTTTGGAACATTTAAGTCCAGTCGCACGTTATACGTATTGTAAACAAGCATTTTTTATTGGAGCACATGTCGGACTTATACATACTAATACTCTTCTTCTACGGTCACCAGATGCTATACCTTATGTCGATACAATGGTTTTATTATTATTGGATAATAAATGCAGTATAATATGTATTTATTGATAAGTTCACAAATTTATTTGAGTGGAGTATATATTGTAAGTATATGTGTATGTATATGGAATAGTGCCTAGTTAAGTAATTATGTTTAATGGCCTTCTTGTCTTGTTCTTGTCAACTGTGGATACCTGGAATCTAAAGCAAAACCAGATCTTATGTATCTCGTCAACAGCGTTTTGATATTGCAGGAAGCGTTTACGTCTCTGTTCCATATCTGTAGGAAACGTATTAGTCTAATGCCGTCGCGGATAAAAATTGGACAAAACGACTTACACAGGGCGAACCTTCTTGTTGGCAATGTTGAAACAATTTCAGAGGGTAAACATTTTGGAAGGATCCTATAATAAATATAACCAAATTTTCTCTATCAGTCACCATGGAATAAGCGCAAGATTTTTTACCTTCTTCTGGCTGATAACAATCCGCGGTGTTCTATAAAATGTTGTCTTCATCGTCAAAACATTTCAGATGATTTCTTTTTTTCTTCACGGTACTTGTAATTGGTGTTTCTAAATAACGTGAGAGCATTACGCATGTTAAGATATTATATATTATAGCCTTGCGTTATGTTACAGGCACGTAAGTTTGCATTGAAGTCTCGGTTGTTGCATGTACGAAATCTCAGAATAATTGATGTTTCTTGTTTGTTGAAGACTGTGACAGCATTTTTGAGATGTATTGTACTCATCAACTGGTATAACAAGAGCTCTTTGAGCGATTACTCTCCGAATTTTCTATGAAAGTACAAATATTAAATGAGTATACAGACCCCGCCACAAATATAACAAAATAAACATCATTATACACACCTTTACTGGTATAGGATTTTGCTTTTCAAAGGTCCCACTTAGGGAAGCGTACCCATACGCTACAACGGTTTGATGCTGATCATATCGGTTATTTGGGTCCCGCAAATGTTGTTCATTTGTTTTGTTAAATATTCTTCTCTTCTTTCTTCTAGAGTCTGAACTAGAATCCATGGAAAGCTTGTATGATTTATTCACGTTTGCGTGCCCCAGAACCACTGAATCAGCGTAATTGTTAGCCATTCGACGGTTTGAAAACATATACCTTTTATTTCTGGATGCCTGCACGACTTCATGAATTCTATTTTTGCAGTTACACAATCAATGATCATGTGATTGATTTATGACTGTATTTGTTTTACCTTTGGTTTTCAAGAGACTGAGAGTTAAAATAGGTTTTGAATCCTCCAACGGTGCACACATCCCTTGTTGGAAGTCTTGTGTAACTATCTTGAATGTTTGAGGTTGCGCGGCTTCGAAGTTCGCATCTTCTTTGCTATTGTATGCCGGAGCGGGACCTGTCATTATTAAAATAAATCTTCACTGAATGAATCGTATGCTTTGTTTCATGCTCTATACTTACATATACGATGGGTTGCTTATATTGAATGAATGCTGTATAATGAGCGGCTTATTTTGTAAAAGATCTTCTTCGCAATCAACCACACATATGATATCATGAACACCTATAAAGACAATCACGTATATACATTCGTTAAAATCTTATTATATCGGGATAGACATTTTACATTGCAGATAAACCTGGATCAATTCCAATGATGCGATCTTCCATTGTGATGCCGGTGGAGTTTTGGGATAACGAGTACAGGCCTTTGTTTCTTCCTGCGAGGTTAATGTTTTATTTTTGGAGATTGACATTGTCTTTGTTCATTGGAGCCCAGTCTGTTTTGATTTTTTCGAAAGGCATGGAAGCCATATGTTCATCAGGTGGTACTGAAAATGTTAACCGACTTTGCTTGTCTGAGTTACATTTGGCAGGAGCATGAGACAGGCTTTGATAGTTAAGATGTCGCTTCTTTTCAACTTTATCTAGGTCAAACATATTTTCACAGAGATCATCTTTTACGTCATATTGGGTATACACTTCTTTAGACTGGTGGTAGTATATTATAGCATCACTACCCAATAATTGGCTTGGTATATAATGGTTACCACTACCATTTAAGTTTCGTTTATAACCTAATGCGAAAATGCCATACATTGCTTTAGGCCCGTAAATACGAGCATACGATAATGAGTATGATGCTTCAGGTAAAAAACTCCAGGTCTTTACTTCCCATGTTTCATGTTACAACCACTCTTTTAATAGTCAGAAACTAAGAAGCAGATATCTTAAAGGATATTGATAGTTTTTTTCTGTAATTATTGACTTTATCGTAGTTGCTGGATCCATATTCTAAATCGTATATGACTTTTATGTGGTTATGTACTTTTTCAAAATCTCGTATATTTGCTGTTCTGATTTATGCTTGACGAAATGACATGGGAGAAACAATAGCTGCTGAAGCTTGTCCAGCTACATTTTTTTGTTATAAGATATTAGGTGAGACACAATATAATTTTATTTGGAAGTTACCTAGAGTTTTTACAGGGACAGATGCTCGGTTTTGCTGAAGGCAAAAGTTAAAAACCATCTAAAAGACGAATATTCCAAAGCTTGAAGTTGAGTAAATGCACACCCACGTCTACATTGCCGGAAGAAATAAAGAAATTGGTAAGTAAATGTGGTAATTAATACCGTATATCAATTGTAAAAATAATTCTAGATACTCTGTACAACGGTTGATCTGAACGTTTCTGAAAAGCCTATTCGTATATTGTTAAGTGCAGGAATATTGTACAAAGACCTTCGCAAAGCATAGAATTTCTAGAAACTATTTGTCCTGTACCCCTCAAAATGCTACAAAAAAATCAGGAAATTAAAAAAATTAAGAAAATATAAAAAACGAACTTTATAAACTTAGAATTCAATAGTTAAGTCGGTGTGTCTCATCAAGACATACTATGCGACACGCATGCGACCAGAAATTATCGTTGTTAATGGAGGGTAAGCCTCAGATGACAAGGGATAGTTCATTTGAACTATTTTTTTTTCGGCGATGGTAGATTGTTCCATAACATAATCGCTGGCGGTTTTATATCTTTGTAATTTCTAATATAATTAGAACTGTTGAAATATATTTGTACCACATTCTCTTTTAATAACTCTCGGTTTAAGGCTTCAAAGTCTTCCTTATTTCGATGGCAGCATGTATATTAGCTTGTAATACAAGTCTTGTTTGAACTAACTGATCTCTTGTTTTATTGTCTAAGCTGATCTCTATTTCGTGATCAAATCTCTGTAAAAGAGCATTGGCTGGTGGGATATTATTTCGGTAATTCGTAACTGAATCAATGACAGTATTTGTAAATACTAGAAAGTTTGCGTACAGTTCATCTGTTGTTCTGGTGTACATTTGTTCCAACACATGCTCCAGGGCAAAAACCTGTTTTGTAATATCCTATGTAAGTGTTAAGAATCTGGCAAACCTCTCAACAATTGAAAGTGATGATAAAATAGTGTGTAAAATATCATGCTTTTTAGGAGCACAAAAATTCTCTGTCTGAGCGGTTACTTGCTCGAAGCCTGTAGCGATACTTCGATTTGATTTAAGTTGGGTGTTTAAGTGTTGGTCAAGACCAGTTGTAGCTGCTATAATATATTTATGTAATAACAAAGGGTTTGCCTGATTTTGAATACTTTTTTGTATCTTCTGTATATTTTTACTTGTAACGTTCAAATGTGTTCTTTCTTCTAATGAAAACCTGACAACATCTCTTAACAGGGAAGTGTTTTTCTGAAATTTGTCCTGTATGTATGTTAATTCGTTATTAAAAAAGAGGGCAAAATTGATCACATCTCGTCCAGCTATAAGATGCTCCTCAGCGATGTGTCTAATAAAAATGATAAGGTTTAACATTGATGAGCATTATTTTACAATAGGTGGATTAATTGTCCGGATTTTTTGCAAAAAAACATTTAATCAGTCATAGTTTAACAGTCACTTTTCTATTAGGGGACGTGTTTGACTGTTGAGTAGACCAGATGGTTTTGTATGTGTCGCTTTGATTACATGACAGTCCCGTCATAACTATTTGGTTTGCTAACGGAGTGTTAAAATAGCAGACCCCATCCGGACAATTTATCCGGGTTTTAGAAAATACGTGAACTGTCCAGAAAGTTATCGAAGTAGGGCATACCCAATCACAAAAACATATTTTTGTTTGAATATAAAGACGGCATATACGATACAAGAAATCTTTCCATTTATAAAATTTATTTCCTTTCCTTATTCTTCTTCTCTACAATTCTGCTAGAAATCATGAAATCGCTGTCAATTGAGAAACAAAACAGTATTAAAAACATCTTGAAATCGTGGATTTTGCACTCAAAAATAATAGAACGTGTGCCAGATGTTAAAAAGTCCACAATTTTGGACTACAAACGAAAGTTTTTCCTGACATTTGACATTCAGCATCAGGCCGTCATAGCATTGTGAAGGAGACAACTCGAAATGCTATTCGAAAGAAGGTTGTACTCGGTGATCTCAGAACAGGAAAGAGGTGGAAAAGTATCTCTATGATCTATGATTTGCAATTGGACACTCTGCATGCTTGAAACTACTAAAATCAATGGGTTTTAAGGTGCTTTTTTAACAGGATAAAACCTTTTCTTAGGGCCCATCACCGTAAACAAAGATTCGACTGGGTTTAAGCACATCGTAGTACCAAAGATGATTGGAAACGTGTAGTTTTTTCTGATGAGACTAAAATCAACAATTGGGGTTTCAATGGTATTTAGTACTGCTGGAAAAGACCGGATGACAAGTTACAGTTTCATCATCTAAATCTTACAGCGAAGCTTGGAGGTGGAAATTTAATGATGTGGGGATGTATAACTTACGATAGACCTGGTTATGCTTGTCAGATATTTGATGGCACCATGAGAAAAGATGATTATATCAATATCCTGGAAACAACAATAAAGGACACGCTTGACTGGTAAGGTTATGACCCTGAAAAAATATATTTCAGCTGGAGAAGGACCCAGAGCACATTTCTAAGCTAACAAAGCAGTGGTTTAAAGACACCAACTTTAATACTGACTGGACTTACAGCTTACCACCTCCGAGTCCCGACTTAAATCCAATCGAGCACGTCTGGCACCACCTAAAATTGAAGTTGAGCTCGTATACATCAAAAGTAGAAAGTGTTCATTAACTATGGGAAAGAGTCGAAGAGCAGTGGAATACCATTACAAAGGAAGACTGCCAGAGATATATAGATAGCATGTCAACAACAATTGAGGCGGTCATTAAAGCCAATGGTGGTCATACAAACTGCGAAACTAGTTATTTTATACCCGGATTAATTGTCCGGATGATGAAATGTAATTTGAATACTTATAATTTTAATCTCGGACTATAAATAGTAATAAAACATGTAGTATATTACACAGTACAATTTTATCTTTCTAACCATATAAACGTTTTGTCATTTGAATAATTGGGTCTTAGATATCGTGCCTTTTGTTATTTTTCTAAGGAAATCCGGACAATTCATCCACCAACTGTGTATGAAAACAAGTATTGCACTATAGTTTCTGTAATTATTTTTTAAAAGAGTTGAAAGTTTGGATTTCAATTATGATAATTTATATTAATCATTGGTGCAGTTGGAGGTGGAATTTGGGTGAAGGTTGGGGTGGAGATTGAGTAGCTTCCGTACAAGATCCACTTTCACTGCGCGTTTGTCTCTTTTGTACTCCTTAGTTTATAAATTCATTTTGTAAAGCTTATGTAGCGCAATAATATTAGTTAATGCATACTTGTCATTCAAAACAATTTAGTTTTTAATAATAGCGAAAAAAAGGAAGGAACAATAATCTAATGAGCTGTGTTGGTACCGTCTAGAATAATGTCCATTTAATTCTTATTAACTGTGGCTTATACTATTGTGCTAAATCCATCTAGTTCACTAGCTTCCATTTTTAAAGTGACCACAAAATCAATTGTAAATTTTTATTAAACCTAAGTTAACGTCATATTATTATTCAGATTGGGAAAAGTAACAATCGAAAATTCAAATAACAACAGTAAATTAGAAAATCCTGACTATTAAAGAATACGATACGACTGTTTTGAGCTTGTAATTTTACTTTCAAGAGAGCGTTGTTTAGTATACAAGGTCTTATTTAATTGCGTTTAATTGCTCCGGTTATGGATGAATTTTAATCAAAGTGAAAAGGATATTTTGTGACGGTGTAAAGAGTGTACTGATTCAGATTAATAATCACATAATATTTTTTGGGCAGCGTAAAACATACACATCAAATTAAAGTCCTAAACCTGGTTTCTTTTAACAAGCACATTGTAACTTCTAAATTCACTCCTCAACTTCTACGTAATTTTAAAATCCGTGCATTAATTTTTTACGCTTTTTACTTACACTTTCTAATTTCTCAAACTGTCTGAAGAACGCCGAAAAGTGTTTGATTGTAACATGTCGTCGAAACCCCTTCGGATATTACACTAAAATAATGTGTTTAACCACATTTTATTTGATATGTGTACACCTTTTGTAGAAATAAATGGCACAAACTCCGAAAATAATGGCACACTTTTTTTTTTGATTTGGCACAGTTGAGAATTATATATGGCACACTGATCCAAATTAAGTTGGTACATATCGAATTTAATGATGGCACACTTTTGAAATTTTATATAGCACACTTTTCTTTTAATTCAATAACTAAAAAACATGTCTCTCAAAGTCTATTTCGAAGATGGTAGAGGAAATGCCATAGATGAAGATGGCTTAGAACCTGTGCAAATGTATGTACGTGGATGAGGAAGCGTATCCTCTAGATAATATAACCACTTATGATTCACATCTAGATCTAAAACCCCCTGAAAAAAAAATACAAGCAAAATTTAACAAACTCAACAAAGCTCTTAGTAATCCTAACGGTTCAAACAATAAAAATATACATCGCGGAGATGACGTAAAGGATATGTTTCTTTACTACCTCTACGAAAGGGGACTGACTGCTGGAAAAGCGGCAAGTGTTATGAATATCCCTCGTAGAACGGGTTACAATTAGCTTAAAAGCGATCAGGATATTCTCGTGGGTAGACTCGAGGGGAAAAACGATGATAGTAG